AGAGGGATTCAGGGAGAAAGAAAGAAAGAAAGAAAGAAAGAAAGAAAGAAAGAAAGAAAGAAAGAAAGAAAGAAGGATTCAGGGGAAAAGAAAGAAAGAAAGAAAGAAAGAAAGAAAGAAAGAAAGAAAGAAAGAAAGAAAGAGGGATACAGGGGGAAAAGAAAGAAAGAAAGAAAGAAAAGAAAGAAAGAAAGAAAGAAAGAAAGAAAGAGGGATTCAGGGAGAAAGAAAGAAAGAAAGAAAGAAAGAAAGAACAGCAGATTCAGTGGAAAAAGAAAGTGTAAGAGACTAAGCGAAAAAGAATGAAAAACTCAAAGAAAGAAAGAGAGAGAGAGAAAAAAAGAAAGAAGTGGCAATCAGAGTAGAAAGAAAGAAACAAACAAAAAGCAGGGGATTCAAAAAAGAAAGAAAGAAAGAAAGAAAGAAAGAAAGAAAGAAAGAAAGAAAGAAAGAAGCATTCAGTAGAAAAAGGATGAAAAACTAAAAGAAAAATGTTTTAAATTTAGAAAGAAAAAGGAGGAAAAATTAGAAAAAGAAAGACTGAATAAAAAAAAGTGAAGGAAAGAAAGAGAGAACAGGGGAGTTCAAAGAAAGAAAGAAAGAAAAGGCAAGGAATTTAGTGGAGAAAGAATGAAACACTAAATGAAAGAAACAAAGAAAAATCAAATAAAGATGTAAGGAATTCATAGAAGAAAGAAAGAAAAGAAAGAAAGAAAGAAAGAAAGAAAGAAAGAAAGAAAGAAAGAATGGGAATTCAAAGAAAAAAAACAAACAAACAAACAGAGAGAAAGAAAAAGTCGGGGATTTAGTGAAAAAAGATTGGAAAACTGATGGACAGAAAGAGAGTAACAAAGAAAGAAAGAAATATTTCAAATTTAGAAAGAAAAAGGAGGGTAAAAATTAGAAAAAGAAAGACTGAGTAAAAATAGCAGAAAGAAAGAATGAAAGATGAAAAAATACTTCATTTAGAAAGAAAGAGAAAAACAAAGAACAAAGGAATCAAAGGAATAAACAAAGAAAACGAAAAGAAAATCGCCGTTCTAAAATTTCATCCTTATTCAAACCACTTTCAGAAACAGGAAATGTAATGAACAAGATCTCTTGAGTAAGGTGTCAAGTCGTTGCACTTGTCTAGTGTAAAACAACCCACATTAAATAACATCGTTCAACACACAACCGTTATACATGACGTCACACTTGGGTGATTCAAACTTTCGGCTCTGTATAAAATACTTGCTTACTGCACTGACAGCACATGGTTCTTGAAAATGACTGCAATAGAAAAAAAAGTACTTGAACAAAAGCAACAGAAGAAACATGAACTTTGGAGAGTTTATCCACAATTTCGATCATTATATACACCTCATTCAAAAATTGGAAAATGCAATAAAAATTTAAACAGACAAACCTTGTTGGTTGAATTTAATAAAACTTTTTTGCAAGAGGTGAATGTGTCTATTTCCGGTTGCATAGTAAAATAACTTCGTCTATTTCCGGTACTTTATTATTCGTAGTCTCCTGAAATGTACATCATTAAGCAAAAGTCACCAGAGGATTTCATAATTTAATAATTACTTTATTTTCTAACTTTAATTCACAGTATTATATACATTATTATATAGAGTATTATATGTATTAATATATACAGCATTATATGCAATAATATATACAGATATACAGTATTATATGCATTAATATATACAGTATTATATACAATATTATATGCATTAATATATACAATATTATATGCAATAATATATACAGTATTATATGCATTAATATATACAGTATTATGAAATGGAAAAGTCCGTTATTTATTTACATTTGATACGCCATGAGCAGATATGAATGTACGTGAGAGATTCATGGAAGATTGAAGCTTAAAATACAGTAAATTCGACCTTGCTAATCGAATGCTCCTCTATGGCCAAATCGGTAAAGGCACGTCAAGCTAAATGACGGTTCCGTATAGGATACAGGTTCGAATCCTGTCGGAGGACGAATATTTTCTGTGAAAATTTCTCGGACATTCAGTTTAATACTGTTTATTATAAACAGAGCATTTACTTAAATATAGAGTTCAGTTCGAAATTCCAATCTGAAGAAGGCCGGATCGTAGAAAGGCCAAAACTTTATGAATATGGCAATGAAGATGACAGCCCGAATAATGTAAATAGTGCAAGTAATCATAATAACACAGAAATATAGAGAGAAAAAACTTTGTCTGAATTTCTGCATAGTAAAATAAATTCGTCTATTCCCGGGATTTCATTATCTATGGTCTCCTGAAATGTACATCGTTGTCCAAAACTCACCATGGAATTTCATAATTTAATAATTACTTTATTTTTTAACTTTAATTCTTAGTATTATATACATTTTGACATAGAGTATTATATACGTTATTATATATATTATGATATACAGTATTATATACAGTATTATATACAGTATTATATACATTATTGTATACAGTATTATACACATTATTATATACATTATTGTATACAGAATTATATACATTATGATATACAGTAGTATATAGATTATTATATGCATTAGTGTATACAGTATTATATACATTATGACATAGAGTATTATATACGTTATTATATATATTATGATATACAGTATTATATACAGTATTATATACAGTATTATATACATTATTGTATACAGTATTATACACATTATTATATATACATTATTGTATACAGAATTATATACATTATGATATACAGTAGTATATAGATTATTATATGCATTATTGTATACAGTATTATATATTATATGACATAGAGTATTATATACGTTATTATATATATTATGATATACAGTATTATATACAGTATTATATACAGTATTATATACATTATTGTATACAGTATTATACACATTATTATATACATTATTGTATACAGAATTATATACATTATGATATACAGTAGTATATTATAGTAGGATTATTATATGCATTATTGTATACAGTATTATATACATTATGACATAGAGTATTATATACATTATGATATTCAGTATTACATACATTATTATATACAGTATTATATACATTATTATATACATTATTGTATACAGAATTATATACATTATGACATAGAGTATTATATACAAAATTATAGGCATTTATATACAGGGTATGCATTATTTTATACAGGACACCGAACAATTACTTTAGTACTTAATAATTTATTAATTAATAATTACTTCATTTTTAACTTTAATTCACAGTGTTATATAGATTATTATATAGATTATTGTATACAGTATTTATACTTTATAATATACATTATTGTATATATTATTATATACAATATATCCATTATTATATATAGAACACATCATTCAGTGTCCATTACTTACACTATACATATTCGGACTATTGTCTTCGTCTTTGTCATTGTTATCACAATGTTTCGTCCGATTGGACGCCGGTCTTCTCTAGGTGTATATTGATCTGGGTAATCTATAGGGGATTCTGAATGTAACGATTCCTTTAATCTACAGGTGGAGACTGTTCTCGTTCCGCTGCTCATGTATAGGGATGTTGTCGAGTTATTTTTATTTCAGTCATTGCTCGCCCGTTTCCACTGAGTGCAAAAGTACACTGCCCGACACAGGAATTGAACTCAAAACCACTAGATGATATCCCTAGACATGAGCAGTGGAACGAGATCAGTCTACCCTGTCTGGTTCTTATTTCTATTTAGTATTGTTCAGTTATTGCTCGAACGTTTTCAATAGTTTTTGTTTGTTTGTTTAACGGCATTTCGACTCTTTTATGGTTCATTTAATGCCGGAATTTTATTTTCTCGTCAGCTTTGTTAAGTCTTTTTCCAATAATATAATCCTGACATTTTTTTTAATATAAAAAATTATCTGTCTATATTTCTTAGATGAGGTATTACCTACACTATTTACATTATTCGGACTATTGTCCTCATCTTTGTCGCCATATTTATCACAACCTTTCGCCCTCAAGGACACATGGTACAGTGGATAAAGGCGTTGTTTAGATCCAGTGACAGGACCCAAAGAGTGTGAGTTCAATACCCGGTTAAGGCAGTGGAGAACCTTCAGAGGGAAATTAGCAAGAGATAACTAATAACTGACATCCATCAAACATGGCACGGGGAACTAGAACAGTCTACCCCAGTGAGCGAAATAAAGGGTTCAGTTCGACATTCCAACCACCTGAAGAAGGCCGGAGCGTACAACGGCCGAAATCTGGATAATGTAAATAATATAAAAATTTATATTGCTCTTATTTTTTTTTTTACTATGAAATTACATTTTCGTGTATTTTTTCTATAAAAACATCTTGAAATATTTTCATAATGTTTTGACGCCATTGTTCACTATTTGCTCTTAGATTTGACCCCCCGAACAGGTGCTACCACCCCAGGTTAGGGTGGACTTGGGAACGACAGCAGTCAACATGTGGTTCCACGTTCCTCAAATCCTCCCGAAGTATTGCTGCCTTATGTTTGTTTATCGTCTTACCCAAGATGGGTTTCCATTCAGTGCTACTACGGAACAATGGCTTGGTAGATAAAGAAGTTGCCTTATGAAATTGGTGGCTTCGTATTTATGAGTTCAGTCCCTGGGACGGGCTATATGCACGAAGGGTTGTGATTGCAGCAACAAAGATTAAGACAGTTGTCCAAATATAAAAAGTGTAAATATCAAAACGTTATTAAACTTCGAGAACGCTTGGTGAATTTGGGGCCACCGTGTAAGTATGTATATAAAGGCTTGTAAGAAAGATAATCTATCCACCTGTCTATCTATAGGACGAAAATAGTTCCATTGCGAAATATACATTCGGACAGCACTCAAGGGCTAAATCCCTCAAAACTTATAGCGTATTGTTATCCCTTTGAATTAGGGGTATTTTTATGCAGAGAAGTTTCTGGAACTGAATGCTTCTTTCTTTCTTTTCTTAATCTCCCGCTTTGCTTCTTTCTTTCTTTTTTCTCTGAATGCCCTTTCTTTCTTTCTTTGATTCTTTCTTTCTTTCTTTTTTTATCCTGTCTACAGATACATTCTCTTTCTTTCTTTCTTTCTTTCTTTCTTTCTTTCTTTCTTTTTTAACCTGTCTACAGCTTCATTCTCTTTCTTTCTTGCCTGCTTTCTATTTAATCCTGTCTACACATCTATTCCCTTTCTTTCTTTTTTATGCAGGTGCAGATACATTCTATTTCTTTCATTCTTTCTTTCTTTCTTTCATTCTTTCTTTCTTTCTTTTTATCCTGTCTCCACATCAATTCTCTTTCTTTCTTTCTTTTTTATCCTGTCTACAGATGCATTTTCTTTCTTTCTTTTTATATGTGGCTTCACAACTATTTTCTTTCTTTCTTTCTTTCTTTCTTTCTTTCTTTCTTTCTTTTTATCCTGTCTACAGATACATTCTCTTTCTTTTTTTCTTTCTTTCTTTTTTAAACGGTCTACAGATTCATTCTCTTTCTTTCTTTTTTAACCGGTATACACATCTATTCCCTTTCTTTCTTTTTTATGCAGTTACAGATACATTCTATTTCTTTCATTCTTTCTTTCTTTCTTTTTATCCTGTCTCCACATCAGTTCTCTTTCTTTCTTTCTTTTTTATCCTCTCTACAGATGCATTCACTTTCTTTCTTTCTGTCTTCCTTTCTTTCTTTCTTTTTTAACCGCTCTACACATCCATTTTCTTTCTTTTTTTGTATGCAGCTACAGATAAATTCTATTTCTTTCATTCTTTCTTTCTTTCTTTTTATCCTGTTTCCACATCAATTCTGTTTCTTTCTTTCTTCTTTATCCTCTCTACGGAGGCATTCACTTTCTTTTTTTCTGTCTTCCTTTCTTTTTTAACCGCTCTACACATCCATTTTCTTTCTTTTTTTGTATGCAGCTGCAGATACATTCTATTTCTTTCTTTCTTTCTTTCTTTCTTTCTTTCTTTCTTTCTTTTTATCCTGTCTACAGATCCATTTTATTTATTTATTTATTTATTTATTTTTATTCTGTCTTCACATCTATTCTCTTTCTTTCTTTCTTTCTTTCTTTCTTTTTATACTGACTACAGATATATTCTTTTTCTTTCTTTCATTCTTTCATTCTTTCTTTCTTTCATTCTTTCTTGCTTTTCTTTTTTATCTGTCTACACATCCATTCGTTTTTTTTTCTTTCTTTATTTTCTCCTGTCTCCAGAACCATTTTTTCTCTTTTTTTATCCTCTGGCCTTTCCTGCTGACTTTTGGATTGTGGATTTCTGGAGGACACGCATGGTTCCATCACATGGACTCTTGACAAAAAAATTTATGATGACAATCAACAATTAATATTGCATTAGATAGGAAATCCAATACTTTCAGTTCTCATTGGATCTCACCTATTTAGTCATATTGGATTCGTCTAAGAAGCTTGTGATGAAAAACATCAATACGACGAAGAAAATACTCTCCCAAAATTAATATTATTTTGGAGACGAAATCTCACAATATAGGAGGCTATTTCAAGCCTTGTCCGACAGAAATAAGCAGAGTACTGACACAAGGTCACGATTCTACAGCGATCACGGCGAACAGGCTCAGAAGAACAGGAAGCTACGCTACACACCGCTCAACAGAGACATCGGTGATGAAATGAAAGGAAGATGTAGAAAGCAGGTCGGGTGCACATTTTGAAAATTGAGCAAAGAATTCTCATCGGACAAATGTTCTTGACATGTGGCGGAACAAAAAAGTCTAAGGGACGAAGCTGTGAAGGGAATAAAGAAGGGAAAATAAAGATACAAAAGGCAGACATACTCATAGATAGATAGATAGATAGATAGATAGATAGATAGATATGAACATATTGAGATAGGTGGGTAGATAGATAGATATGAAAAGCTGAGAATGATAGATAGATATAAACAGACTGAGATAGATAGATAGATAGATAGATAGATAGATAGATAGATAGATAGATATGAATAGACTGAGATAGATAGATAGATAGATAGATAGATAGATAGATAGATAGATATGAACAGCTGAGAATGATAGATAGATATAAACAGACTGAGATATATAGATAGATGAATAGATAGGATATATATATATATATATATATATATATATATATATATATATATATATATATATACTAAATGTATATCGAGAGAGAGAGATGAATAGACTATGATATACGTAACTAAATTTGTCATAGATTAAATAACTATACTGCATTTTTCGTGTGTATATATATATATATATATGTGTGTGTGTGTGTGTGTGTGTGTGTGTGTGTGTGTGTGTGTGTAAAATAATTTTAAGGTATGCGATATTTAGTGCTAAATACCAGCGATAGGGTGTATGTAAATACATAAGTCTACACTGATGTCAACACCCAGCAATGAGAAGCCAGTATACACTCACACACACACACACATACACATATATATATATATAATATTATATATACAATATATATACATATATAATATTATATATACAATATATTATATATAATATCTATATATAATATAATATATATATATATATTGAATTATACACACACACACACATATTGAATTATATACCTGTTCCTCACAATTCGATGATACATAAAGTATGCTATTTAAAAAGCGTGATGAGAAACAGCCATAAAATTCTTTTTAACATCAATTTTATCTACCACCAGCACTTTAGCAGATATTGAACTCACACTCTTTGGGTCCTGTCACTGGGTCTATCTATTCACTGTACCATGTGTCCTTGAGAACACGCCTTTATCCACTCTTAAGACGGTAGAGAACATGGAGAGGGGAATTAATAGGAAATAACTGATAACTGGCAACCATTAAACATGGCACGTGGAACTAGAACAGTGAGCGAAATAAAGGGTTCAGCTTGACATTCCAACCATATGAAGAAGGCCGGCGCGTACAACAGCCGAAACGTTGTAATAAATATGACAACAAAGATGAGGACAATAGTCCGAACAATGTAAATAGTGTACATAATACCTCATCTCAGTAATATAGACAGATACTGAAAGGCAGAAACGTTGTAATAAATATGGCGACAAAAATTAGGACAATAGTCCGAATAATGTAAATAGTGTACATAATACCTCATCTCAGATATATAGACAGATACTGAAAGGCCGGAACGTTTTAAAAAATAAGGCGACAAAGATGAGGACAATAGTCCGAATAATGTAAATAGTGTACATAATACCTCATCTCAGAAATATAGACAGATACTGAAAGGCCGAAACATTGTAATAAATATGGCGATAAAGTTGAGGACAATAGTCCGAACAATGTAAATAGTGTACATAATACCTCATCTCAGATATATAGACAGATATTGAAAGGCCGGAACGTTGTAATAAATATGGCGACAATAATGAGGACAATAGTCCGAATAATGTAAATAGTGTACATAATACCTCATCTCAGAAATATAGACAGATATTAAAAGGCCGAAACATTGTAATAAATATAGCGATAACGATGGGGACAATAGTCCGAACAATGTAAATAGTGTACATAATACCTCATCTCAGAAATATAGACAGATACTGAAAGGCCGGAACGTTGTAATAAATATGGCGACAAAGATGAGGACAATAGTCCGAATAATGTAAATAGTGTACATAATACCTCATCTCAGAAATATAGACAGATACTGAAAGGCCGAAACATTGTAATAAATATGGTGACAAAGATGAGGACAATAGTCCGAACAATGTAAATAGTGTACATAATACCTCATCTCAGAAATATAGACAGATACTGAAAGGCCGGAACGTTGTAATAAATATGGCGACAAAGATGAGGACAATAGTCCGAACAATGTAAATAGTGTACATAATACCTCATCTCAGAAATATAGACAGATACTGAAAGGCCGAAACATTGTAATAAATATGGCGATAAAGATGAGGACAATAGTCCGAATAATGTAAATAGTGTACATAATACCTCATCTCAGAAATATAGACAGATACTGAAAGGCCGGAACGTTGTAATAAATATGGTGACAAAGATGAGGACAATAATCCGAACAATGTAAATAGTGTACGTAATACCTCATCTCAGAAATATAGACAGATACTGATAGGCCGAAACGTTGTAATAAATATGGTGACAAAGATGAGGACAATAGTCCAAATAATGTAAATAGTGTACATAATACCTCATCCCAGAAATATAGACAGATAATAAACTGATCCCCCAATGAATTCCAATATACCGTGTAACGTGCAATGTTTATTCTAAAGATAGCTGTACTTTTTGACTACAATAAATGGATATATAGTTTGGTCAACAGCGTAGCCACGGCCAGAAGTACGTACGCTAATTTTATATCTCATGTATTAAGCGACCCTCTTAAAATTAGGTTCAAAATTAGGTTTTCAATAGTCGCATAATACGCGAGTATATACAGGATTTATAAATATTCACTGTATCATTATTATGTCATCAATGTATTTTCTGCAGCTTTCTCTCACCGTGTATTGTATTATGTAAGGTTAATGCGAATGTTGTTTTATTTATCATTTTGGGGACAAAACCGTGTTTTCGCGTAACATGCCAACAGAGAAATGGTGCAGAGTGTGACACGAAAACTTCAAACAGCCTCCATGTGTGTTATTTCCTCAGTCTTTAAACTTTGCCGAATAACGTCAAAGGCCAACAGCAATACATGTAGTTAAATATAACAAAGAAAGACATCATACGATTTATCAGAGATTTCCTTCTTCTACGTCAAAAAAGCAAGGCCGAATATGCGCTAAAATTTAACTTATTTTATTTATCTATCTATCCAATTTCAATATTTGTTTATCTATCTATCTATCTATCTATCTATCTATCTATCTAATTTCAATATTTGCCTATCTATCTAATTTCAATTTTTGTCTATCTATCTATCTAATCTCAATATTTCTCTGTCTGTCTATCTATCTCATGTCAATATTTGTCTATCTATCTAATCTCAATATTTGTCTGTCTATCTATCTATCTGTCTAATCTCAATATTTGTCTGTCTATCTATCTATCCAATCTCAATATTTGTCTATCTATCTATCTATCTAATCTCAATATTTGTCTGTCTGTCTATCTATCTATCCAATCTCAATATTTGTCTATCTATCTATCTATCTAATCTCAATATTTGTCTATCTATCTATCTATTTATTAAAGACATATTTTTATGTTTAACGTTGTTATTTTATAGATACAAGTATTTAAGCAAATGTTCTGTTTAACGTTGATAAACAGTATTAAAAATAACATTTACGGACCTGAATGTCCATTTTTTAATATAAAATTTTCGTTCTTTACATTCGAACCTGCATCCTAGAGCAACAGTCAATACGCGAGATTCATGGAAAAGTTGAGTTTATAAGGTCAATTGACCTTGTCACCGATTGGTTCTTTAAACTCCAACTTTTAAAATCTCGTACATTCATATATGCTCTGGCGTATCGGTTGTAAACAAAACCTTTCATATAGAAAAATTTTCTATGACAAGGTCCGGCAATTTAATTTATTTAAGACTGTTTTTCATAAACAGAGCATTTGCTTAAATACTTGTATCTATAAAATAACAACGTTAAACATAAAAATATGTCTTTAATAAATAAATTGTCGGACCTTGTCCATTTCTTAATATATGACTATCTATCTAATCTCAATATTTGTCTGTCTGTCTATCTATCTATCCAATCTCAATATTTGTCTATCTATCTATCTATCTAATCTCAATATTTGTCTGTCTGTCTATCTATCTATCCAATCTCAATATTTGTCTATCTATCTAATCTCAATATTTGTCTATCTATTTCACTTTGTTCATATCTATTAGGTCCCTTCTTTCTTTCTTTCTTTCTTTCTTTCTTTCTATATCAGTCAATTCATATTATCTGTCAATCCATCTATATATCTCAGACTGATGCATATCAATCTATTTATCTATCTCAATCCTATTCTCAATTCTCTCTCTCTCTCTATCTATATATATATATATATACACACACACATATATATATATATATATATATATATATATAATACAGGTGCGGGTGGATCCTAGTAATATTAGTTAGTAAAACATATCCACAGAGAGCTCAATGTAATTATTTTAACAGAGCATATGTATTTTTAAAGCAAAAAAAAAAACAAAAATTACCTCAATATAAAGGATAATCTGCCACTAATCACAACCGGTTCATATCAATCTCTCTCTATATATATAGTTGGATTGATATATGTGATCTGGGTTTCACGCCCCTGAAACCCAGGGTCATAAACACACATGAATCCAACTAAATATGTTGGTTGTATCACTGATATTGAACGCTTTCAATAAATACCACTCATATATAATATATGAATAATATATATAAAAATTATATGCATATATATATATATATATATATATATATATATATATATATATATATATATATATATATGAATAAAAGAAAGAACAGATGGAGTAAAAATCCACTGCTCGTAGCATTTACTTTTTAAAAGTCCTCATTTTATTATGAAATTATAATAAAAACATTTTGAATGCTCTACCCAAAAGCCTTTATGTTTCAATGCTATGATGGCACTTCTACTATATATATGTATATCTTTCACTTGTCATCTGTCTATATATTCATCAATCTATTATGTCTCTCAACCTGTTCATATCTATCTATGAATCTATCTTCCTCACTCTTCTCATATCTATTTATCTATATGTCTCTATTCATATCTATCTATCTCTTTATAAATGAATACACCGCTTCGTCATTCTCGTAATAAATATATAAATAAATATATCAAGAAAATAAAGATAAATACTTAAAACTGACTCATATCCGTTTCTTAAAGACCCTTAAATTCCACGTGAAAACTTTCTCCTAGTTTCTGAATTTTTACAAGACTTACCAACGATGTACTACAATTTGTCAAGGGTTAAATCAATGGTGGCTTGTAGTAACTCTCCTCTCAATGCATACATCGCAAATCAGTGATGTTAACAGAGGTTCATTGATATTTTCAACATCACAGCAACTCCAGTTCATTGCTTAAGAAGCTCGTGTAATGAGCCATTGCGTCTGAAATTTGTTTGGTCACCACTGGATGGTCAATTATTGTGGCTTTAGTCGGTAGTAAACTTAGTAACGACTTCCTATTTCGTCCGGCCGTACAGCAAGAAAATGGATGAATTTAAAGTGAAGGTGAATAATAAGAAAACAAACAGGAAGTAGATTAGTGAGAAAAAGAGGAGGGGAAGCAAGAATGGGAGAGGGGAGAGTTGGTAGAAAGAGGGTATAGAAGAGCAAAAGGAAGTAAGGAAAGACGGGGAGACGGAATAAAGAAAGAAGAAAGGTAAGAAAAAGAATAATAAAATGAAAAACAAAAGGTAGAGGCAATAAAGTAGGAGATAAAAGAATTAAGAGGCAAGACTCAAAAGAGAGGGGGAAAGGGTAGAAGGAAGAGGAGAAGGAAAAGAAGAAAAGAGTGGAATTAGTAGAAAGGAAAGGAAGAAGAATGGAAGGGAAAGAGTCGGAAAGGCGGGAAAAGGAAAAAGGAGAAGGAAGAGGTGGAATTAGTAGAAGAAAAAGGAGAAGGAAGAGGCGGAATGAGTAGAAGGGAAAGGAGAAGGAAGAGGCGGAAAGAGTAGAAGGGAAAGGAGAAGGAAGAAGCGGAAAGAGTAGAAGGAAAAGGAGAAGGAAGAGGCGGACTGAGTAGAAGGAAAAGGAGAAGGAAGAGGCGGAATGAGAGAAGAAAAAGGAAGAAGGAAGAGGAAAGGAAAGGAAGAAAGATTAGAAGGAAAAGGAGAAAGGGAAGAAGGAGCGGAAAGAGTGAAGGGAAAAGAAGAAGGAAGAAGGAAGGGAAGAGGCGGACTGAGAAGGAAAGGAGAAGGAAGAGGAAGAAAAGGAGAGGAAGAAGGAAAAGGAGAAGGAAGAGGCGGAAAGAGTAGAAGAAAAAGGAGAAGGAAGAGGCGGAATGAGTAGAAGGGAAAGGAGAAGGAAAAAAGATTAGAAGGAAGAGGGGAAGGAAGAGGATAAGGAAGAGGCGGAAAGAGTAGATGGAAAAGGAGAAGGAAGAGGCGGACTGAGTAGAAGGAAAAGGAGAAGGAAGAGGCGGAATGAGTAGAAGAAAAAGGAGAAGTAAAGAAGGATTACAAGGAAAAGGTGAAGTATGAAAGATTCTGAGTAAGAGGGGAAGGAAGAGGCAGAAAGAGTAAAAGGGAAAGGAGAACAAAGAGACGAAAAGACTAGAATGAAAATGAGAAATAAGAAGCAGAAATAATAGAGGGGAAAGGGGAAGGAAGAGCTGGATAGAGAAGAAGGAAAATAAGTAAAAGGCGGAAAGAGTAGGAAAAAAGAGAAATAAGAAGTGGAAAGTGTAGAAGAAAAAGGATATGGAAATGGCGGAAAAAGTAGAATGAAAAGGTAAAGTAAGAGGCAGGTCTAGTCGAAGTAAAAATAGAAGGAAGAGACAGAAAGAATAGAAGGAAAAGGAGAAGGAAGAGGCAGAAAGAATAGAAGGAAAAGGAGAAGGAAGAGGCAGAAAGAGTGGAAGGAAAAGGAGAAGGAAGAGGAAGAAAGAATAGAAGGAAAAGGAGAAGGAAGAGGCGGAAAGAATAGAAGGAAAAGGAGAAGGAAGAGGCAGAAAGAGAAGGAAAAGGAGAAGGAAGAGGAAGAAAGAATAGAAGGAAAAGGAGAAGGAAGAGGCGGAAAGAGTAGAAGGAAAAGGAGAAGGAAGAGGCGGAAAGAGTAGAAGGAAAAGGAGAAGGAAGAGGCGGAAAGAGTAGAAGAAAAAGGAGGAGGAAGGTGCAGAAAGAAGAGAGGGAAAAGGAGGAGGAAGAAAGATTAGAAGGGAGAGGGGAAGGAAGAGGCGGAAAAATAGAAGGAAAAGGTGACGTAAAAAGCGAAAGCGTAGAAGACTATGAAAAGCGAATGTTGGAAAAGTCTGAGAAAACAAGCGTGGAAGCTATTGATGACAAAAGAATATAAGTAGGGGGTCAATGTAAAAGACGGAGAGGGAAAAATTGTAGTCGGAATGAAAAATAGATAAAGACGACATAAATAAGGGGAGAGAAAGAAGGAGAAAGATGAGCAGAAGTCGGGTCATACGAATGACTATAAAGAGAAAGAAGAAGAAAAAGAAAATAAACTAGAACTGCAGAAGCCTGAAACTAAGGTATTGGATGAAGAGGAGGAGGAGGGGGAGAAGGAGGAAGAGAGAGGGAGTAAAGAAAAATAGAAAGATTAAAAGGGGGCAAAAATGAGGACGGCGAATACTGAAGAGTAATAGGAAAAGGAGAAGCAGGGTTTGAAAGAATAAGAGGAAAATGGAGGTCGACGGATGAGTTGAAGAAAGAGGAGACGAAGGCAAAGGAGAAAACGGAAGAGAAGAAATAGGAGGATTGAAATACAAACAGAAAAGAATATCCATGACAATCAAAATTAATCGACCAGTTCCCACTGAATTTTGTCAAACATCGCTTTGATTAAATGGACTGTGTCATTCCTTCAATACAAGCCTTTTCTCCCTACCTTCAATCTTGTCTTTATTCAATCGTAAATTCTTTTTATTTAACCAAAGAAGGGAAATCCGCTTCTTGCTTCGCCGGAGCGTAAGTCATTAAATTAAATGTCTTTATGTCGAATCTGAAATTTGTGTCCCTTTGCTTAATACGTAAAATTCTTCGTCTTCTCCCGTTTGTCTCTTTGGTTGTTCTGTTCCAGGGTTTTTTTTTGTTTTTTCTTCCATATAAACCCTGCCCTCTTTTCCTTTAACCATCTTCTCGTTCTAACATTTTATTTAATTAGTCCTCATAGTGAAGTGGTTAGCGCGTTACGTCTTGAAATCTTCAGACAGAGTCTCCCTTTCAGGTCTTTTTTTTTTAATATGACCTTATAACTAAAGTTAACATAACTTATTTTTTTACGTTTATACGTTCTTTTTATAGATACAAATATTTAAGTAAATGCTTTGTTTATAATAAACAGTGTTAGCAACATTTACCGGCCTGAATATCCGATAAATTTTCATATAAAATATCCGTCCTCCGACAGGAATCGAACATGTATCCTATACGGAACCGTCGTATAGCCTGACGTGCCTTAACCGATTTGGCTACAGAGGAGCGTTCGGTTAGCAAGGTCGAATTAACTGTTTTTAAACACAATTCTCCATGATTTTCTCTCTTGTCTTAAATAATTGTCGGACTTTCTCCATTACATAATGTATGACGTCATTTGTTTAGATTGGATACGCATTGAGCAGATATGAATGAATTGTCTTCATCTTACCGTCCTGGTTAAGACGATAAACTACATCCACGTCCAGGCTAAGACGATAAACTACATCCGCGTCCTGGGTAAGACGATAAACTACATCCGCGTCCTGGGTAAGACGATAAACTACATCCGCGTCCTGGATATGACGATAAACTACATCCGCGTCCTGGGTAATTATTACCAACAATACATTAAATAAAATATTGCCAGCTATACATTTTTGGAGAAAAAATATTACCAGAAATAGATTTTTGAAGGAAAAAAATATTACCAGCCATAAAAATCTTGTCGGCATTAAATAACCCATTGTAGTTGATATGCCGTAAAACAAACCAAACCAAACCAAATGGGCAATATATTTTTCTAAAACTTATTACCAGCAATACATTTCTGAAGAAAATATTATTACCAGCAATACATTTTTGAAGGAAAAATATTACCAGCAATACATTTTTGAAGGAAAAATATTACCAGCAATACATTTTTGGAAAAAATATATTTGGAGCAATACATTTTTGAAAAAATTATTACGAGCAATAAAAATCTTGTCGACATTAAATAATCCATTGAGCTTGATATGCCGTAAAAGAAAATGAATCAAACCAACGAATACATATTCTATTCATACGAACTTATTCTAAAAATCTTGTCGGCATTAAATAATCCATTGAGGTTGATATGCCGTAAAAAAAAATGAAACAAACCAAAGAATACATTTTCTATTCATTGACGAACTTATTCTAAAAAAAATCTTGTCGGCATTAAATAATCCATTGAGGTTGATATGCCGTAAAAGAAAATGAATCAAACCAAAGAATACATTTTCTATTCATTATTCTAAAATCGAACTTATTCTAAAAAAAAAATCTTGTCGGCATTAAATAATCCATTGAGGTTGATATGCCGTAAAAAAAATGAATGAATCAAACCAAAGAATACAAAATTTTCGGCATTATTCATTGAGGTTGATATACGAACTTATTCTAAAAAATCTTGTCGGCATTAAATAATCCATTGAGGTTGATATGCCGTAAAAGAAAATGAATCAAACCAAAGAATACATTTTCTATTCATACGAACTTATTCTAAAAATCTTGTCGGCATTAAATAATCCATTGAGGTTGATATGCCGTAAAAGAAAATGAATCAAACCAAAGAATACATTTTCTATTCATACGAACTTATTCTAAAAATCTTGTCGGCATTAAATAATCCATTGAGGTTGATATGCCGTAAAAGAAAAACCAACGAATGAATCAAACCAAAGAATATGCCGTAAAAAAAAAATGAATCAAACCAAAGAATACATTTTCTATTCATACGAACTTATTCTAAAAATCTTGAAAATAATCCATTGAGGTTGATATGCCGTAAAAGAAAATGAATCAAACAAAAGAATTTTCATACGAACTTAAAAAATCTTGTCGGCATTAAATAATCCATTGAGGTTGATATGCCGTAAAAGAAAAATGAATCAAACCAAAGAATACATTTTCTATTCATACGAACTTATTCTAAAATCTTGTCGGCATTAAATAATCCATTGAGGTTGATATGCCGTAAAAGAAAAATGTCAATCAAACCAAAGAATCTATTCTAAATTTTCTATTCCATAAACCATTCTAAAAAATCTTGTCCATACGAACATTAAATAATCCATTGAGGTTGATATGCCGTAAAAAATGAATAAACCAACGAATACATATTCTATTCAACGAAAAAATATCTTGAAAATCAAACCAAAAAAAAAATACATTTTCTATTCATACGAACTTATTCTAAAAATCTATCTTATCTTGTCGCATTAAATAATCCATTGAGGTTGATATGCCGTAAAAGAAAATGAATCAAACCAAAGAATACATTTTCTATTCATACGAACTTATTCTAAAAATCTTGTCGGCATTAAATAACCCATTGAGGTTGATATGCCGTAAAAGAAAAAAAAATCAAACCAACGAATACATATTCTATTCATACAATATTCTAAATATTCATAAATAATCCATTGAGGTTGATATGCTAAAAGAAATGAATCAAACCAAAGAATACATTTTCTATTCATACGAACTTATTCTAAAAATCTTGTCGGCATTAAATAATCCATTGAGGTTGATATGTTGAAAATGAATCAAACCAAAGAAACATTTTCTATTCATAAACCAAAAATCTTGTCATTAAATAATCCATTGAGGTTGATATGCCGTAAAAGAAAAAAGAAAGAATACATTTATTATATTCATACGTTATTCTATTAAATAACCCATTGAGTTGACATTTTTTCATCATTATATCAACTTGGGTTTTCATTTTAGGTTTTCTTTTTATATATGGCATCGTAACTAAAGTAAATATGACTTATTTTGCTAAACCTTATGCTAAGAAAATATATGTCCCCTGTGTTGTGCGAGACAATTTTTCTAGACTGAATTTATTTTGCACCTTCATAAGTCTACCATTTGTTCATACATTGAATATTGTTGCCACATCTGGCCCGGATCCTCTAGGAGATCCAATGAAGAAGCTACGAGTAAGGTACTAAAGCCACTAAGACGCAGCGGAATGAAAGAGACTAAGAAATCTTTAAAGAAAAAAAGAAAAAGAACACTCTTCAAAGAGGCAGAAGATAAAGATTAACGTTTTATTTTTGAAGATCGTAGTTTACAAGATAGCAAGAAGCCAAAAGGTTTTTCCACAAGCAAGAAGAGCGAGAGAAGGAACTGTCATCCTAGAACTTACGGTCACATCTTGCCATTTCAACTGTAAAATGATGAGACCTAACTGCCAATCTAGCACTGCGCTTAAATTCGTTAATTCACGCTGCCAAAGTTGAACATTCATCAGAACAACTGACATGAAAAGATTTATAGAAAGAGCACAGAAAAAAAAATGTTATGGTGCTTGGAAAGTCACTGAAGCCGAGAATCCAGTTCAAGACGTATAAATACGCGCGTCTCGATATAGAGGGTGTCCCAAAAATTTGATATCATTTCGCGGGCCAATAATTTTGGCAATTCTTGTTGAAATAACCTGAAATTTTCATAGAATGTATAGAAACAGATCAAGATTTTATATTTAATGTTTTATTTTTGTTCTGTTTTCAGGTTGAGCCATGCCGTTCCCTCCCAAAGAGAAATCATTTTGCGTCTTGGGATATGCTCACATGCAGTCACCCAAGACTGTGCAGTGTGCCTTCAATGCAAAATTTGGAAAAACTTGTCCAAATGGCAAACAAATTTGGACTTAAAGAGGAAGGTTGCTTGTGCAGGGTGAAAGGACCTGCTAGACCATCATCAAAATCAATGTGTTTGGCAAGAGCTTAACTACCGACTTATCGTGTGCCGTGTCACAGGCGGTGCACATATTGAACACTTAATAAAATTGCTTCCATAATAAACTAATCATGTTCAACACCTAAACTGTTCAATTTCATTGAGCTAAACTTAATAGCTTTCAAGATAAAACTGTTTGCCTCGGGGTTCTTGATAGGCCCCAGAGGCGGATACGCAATATAATTGGCCCTGATCTGGCATCTCTACAGTCACTTTCTCACAGACGCGCCGTTGCCTCTCTCTGTCTTTTTTACAAATACTTTCATGGCAATTGCTCCGAGGAGCTGCATTCGCTGGTTCCCAGACTTCATGAGTTCAAGCGCCCTACGAGGCTGGCATTCCGCTCTCACCCCTTCACTGTCGAAACTCCTAAATGTAGGCGTCTCTTCTACTCCAATAGCTTCATGTCTCGTACTTCTCGCCTGTGGAACTCCTTTCCCTATTCCAGTTTCCCTGAGAGCTATAATCTCCAGCTATTCAAATGTAATGTCAATCGACATCTCCAGTTGCCTTGATCTATCGACTACTTTTCTCCTCATCCTTTCTTCTATTACTCCTATCTGATCTTGCTCTAAATTTTCTGTGACACCTTGTGTCCTAGTGGCTTCCCGCCTTGCTTGGGGTGAAACGCTTAAAAAAAAAAATTTTAAATGATGTCAAATTTTGTGGGGACACCCTGTATTTAGCTTAGAACTTTGAAAGTAACTGTGAATATGCTAGGCTATGAGGATCTCCTTAGTAGGCCTAGCATAGAAATGTGTACGATATGGGATCCATAAATAAAGAAAACGGAAGGAGACCAATGCCATTCACTTCCAAAGTCATTTTGCATCGCCCAAGACTGTGCAGCAGGCCTTCAATGCAAAATTTGGAAAAACTACACCAACTGGCAAACAAATTTGGAAGAGGAAGGCAGCTTATGCAAGGCGAAAGGACCTGTTAGGCCATCATCAACATCAGCGTGTTTGGCAAGAGCTTAACTATCGACTTGACGTGTGCTGTGTCACACAGTCCACTTATTGAACACTTAACGAAATCGCTCCCATAAAAACTTATGATGTTCAACACCTGTTGTATATGGCGAAACGAATTTTTTTTTCTTTCTTTAATTTTTTTTTTTTCGTATGAATTTCGAATTCTGGTCGCCAAAGTTGTTGTAAAGTAGTTTTCACAGTGGAGGCTTGTGTTTCACTAAGTCGTCCTAAATTAGGTTCGACGTACAAAACGTTAGGAACTTGCAATAATAGTTAATGACGCAGCTTGTGATGGTTGATAATTCAATGTCCGACATCGACTGACTCACTCAACTCCACTGAGCCCAACTTGCGACCGCTACTACTACTACTACTACTTATTATGTGTGGGAGAGTCTATTACAATAGAATAGGTAATGTTCCGGTATAACAACACCTAAACTATTCAATTTCATTGAGCTAGACTTAGTAGGTTTCAAGATAAATTGCTTTTAAAATGATGTCAATTTTTTTTTTTTTTTTTTTTTTTTGATGGGGAGCACCCTGTATTTTTTAAACGAGTCTATTTTCTCTGTTTTCGGATTCTCTTTCAATCGGTGAGCATTATAATTTTATTTATTTACCTCGATTGAGCGTGAAGCATAAACTAGGTTAGCTCATTCCAGTTTTCTTTTTTCCCCTCTCTTTATTCTCTTTGTTTCTCTTGCTTATGTGTGTTTTTATTTGTTTTGCCAGCGAGAGTAGCAACGATTTGACTTTTTAATTACATAATCTACCATTCGTCCGTGCATTGAAATATTGCTGCCATATCTAGTCCGGGGCTCCTGCTATATATCTCAAGATTCTTGGCAAAATCCGAAATGTGTGGAATGTAATCGATCTTGACCGGGTATTCAGTCACTTTCCCGCCCCTGTGACAAGGCTTCCCTCTGCCTTTTCTATAAATATTTTATAAATATATAGGACTAATGGTAGATTTATAAATGTGTAAGATAGATTTAAACTAAAAAAAATGTCTGGTACGACACAGTGAACCAACTTTCCTAGCAGAAGACCTAGCAATTGATTCAGTATAAACTCTACACTTCATGTCCGTGGGAAAAGTACGACGAAGAAGGCGCTATAAATTGCTCTACTGGAGATTAGCATCAGCCATGCTGGTGAAAGGTAGAAATGATTCTTTAGGATAATGAAAGGATAGCAGTTTTGTTTTGGGGGCGATAGAATTTGCTAGCCATTTCTTGCCCCAGTTAACAACTAATATATATTTGAGATGAGGTATTATGTACATTATTTACATTATTCGGACTATTGTCCTCATCTTTCTCGCCATATTTATTACAACGTTTCGGCCTTTCAATATCTGTCTATATTTCTGAGATGAGGTATTATGTACACTATTTACATTATTAGTACTTTCAACTGTACATTCACTCATCTTCAGGCATAGAAATTATTATAAAAATAATTTCCAAGATGTGGTTCTACAGAAGGATGTTGAGAATGCCATGGATCGAAGATATGAGCAACGACGAAGTTTTAGAAAGAATGAAAAACAAAAATGAAACTTTTACTTAACATCAGGAGACAGTTGAAATTTCTTGACCACGTAATGAGGAAAGATGGCTTGGAAAATCTGATACTCACAGGAGAGATTGGAGGCAAGAGAGACAGAAGAAATCGAACGCATGACATGGTTATTGAGTTTGTGTAAATGGATGGCTGAACAGGCTTTAGAAGAGATAACGCAAAAACAAATTTGAAAAAGAAGAAGAAGAGGAAGAAGAAGAAGAAAAGGAGGAGGAAGAGAAGAAAAGGAGGAGGAAGAGAAGAAAAGGAGGAGAAGGAGGATGAAGAAGATTCCTTCTGGATTCCTCTCTTTACTTCTCCTCCCCTTCGTTCTCTTCTTTCTTTATTCTTCTTCCCTCTCTCTGTCTCTCTATATCTCTTTCTCACTCACTCTCATTCACTCACTCTCCCACGAAAACACCTTCCATTTTCTTTCTTCCTTCCTTCTTGGTTGCTCTCTCCCTCACTCTTTCAGTTTCTATCTATTTTTCTTTCCTTTTTTGGACTTTCTTTCTTTCTCTCTCTCTCTCTCTCTCTCTCTCTCTCTCTCTCTCTCTCTATCTATCTATCTATCTCAGTCTGTCCACATCTATCTATGGCTTTTCATTATCTATCTATCTATCTATCTCTTTCTCTTTAGGTCGACGCCATTTCTTTGCACATTTGTTCAAATCAATTCTTTCTTCCTTTGGGTTTTCTCTCTTTGTCCCTTGCTGTGGTCAACGGTGCACGCCATCTTAGATCAACCAACCATGACATCTTTTAATGGGCCTCGGATTTCTTCACCAGCGCCGCCTGACTTTTTCGACACAGCCGCACGACAGAGTCTGCGAGATGAGGTTGGGGGAAGCAGAGAATTCAAAGATCGATCCCGACGAAGGGCAAGCAAATAAATGATAACGTCAAACTAGGGTTTCTTTTTTTTTCTTTTTTTTTTCTTCTTTTGTTTATTGTTTTTGTCAAATTTATTTATTCATTATTTTTAGACTGTTTCAAAAACAATTTCGCTTTTACAGATCTAACACTACATTCTATTACAAATATTATTATAGTACATCAGGATGCATAAAAAATATTTTCATTTTTTTTTCCAGAGCTTATTTCAATTCTATATTTAAAGACTATCACTCCACGATATAATTGTATATCCTTGTATATGGCTCCTTAACCGGAACATTAGCAGCCAAACTGGAAAAAAGGTTAGATGGTCCTTACACAAGAATGCTTCGAGCAGCACTAAACAAATCCTGGAAAGATCACCCAACCAAGAAAGAGCTCTTTGGCAATATCAGCAAATTAATACATCAACGAAGACTAAGATTTGCTGGTCACTGTTGGCGTAGCAAAGAACAACTAGATGGAGACGTTCTATTCTGGATACCATCCGATGGAAAAAAGAACACAAGGTCGACCAATGAAGATGTACACTGACCATCTGATTGAAGATACAGGATGCAGACTGGATGAGGTTCCAGATGCAAAGAACCAGAGGAATAGAAGGAAGCAGCGTGTCATATATTGCCGTGTTTGATCGACCTGATGATGATGATGATCATGATGATCATCATCATCATCATCATCATCATCATCATTATTATTATTATTATTATTATTATTATTATCATATTTATAATTTTCTTTGATTTCTGGCGTTTAAACATTTCTTTCTGGGTCCCGCCCAGGGACCTAAGGTTAGAAATGGCATCATGACACTTTTCCCTGACAAAAAAAAAAATTACATAGATAAAGCCCTTCGTAAAGTGTGGGCTGTACTTGTCAGAACAATTTTTTGTATCTCCTTGAGGCATGGACTTCCAGAAATCCCTTCAATTACTCTACTGCAATCTTTTCCAACCAGTCCTAGGGCTCCAACTACAACAGGAATTGTTGATGTTCCCATAAGCCACATTTTCGAGATTTCTATTTCAAGGTCCTTGTATTTTGACAGCTTTTTGAATATTTTCAAGGATACATTGCAGTCATCAGGGACTGCCATATCAATAAGGAGGCACCGTTTTTGTTCGTGGTCTTTAATAACAATATCTGGGCGGTTGGCCTTGATTGTTCTGTCAGTGTGTATTGTGTAGTCCCATAGAATTGTAACAGGTCCAATCTCCGTAACCGGGTCTGGGTGGTGTTCATACCAATTTCTTTCAGTTTCCTTTCCGTAGAAGTTGAAGATTTTCCAGTGCAGATATTGGCCCACTCTGTGATGTCGGGTTTTATATTCAGTGGATGCCAACATCGTGCAACCTGATACAAGATTATCAATCGTTTCTGGATATTTATCACTTATTATTATTATTATTATTATTATTATTATTGCTGTTTTTGTTATTATTTTTATTTCCTATGATTTCTGTTGTGCACTCATTTCTTTCCTGGTCCCACCCAGAGACCTAAGGTCAGAAATGGCATCATGACATTTTCCACTGAGCAATTAAAAAAAATAAAAATAAAAAAATAAACATATTTTACATAGATAAATCCCCTCGTGAGAATAATTTTTTTTATTCATTTAAGGCATAGGCTACCAAGAATCCCGTCAATGAGTCTATAGGAATCTTTTCCAATCGATCCGAGGGCTCCAACTACAAAAGGGATTATTGATGTTATCATGTGCCACATTTTTGAGATTTCTATTTCAAGGTCCTTTTATTTTGATAGATTTTTAAAAATCTTCAAATATACATTGCAGTCTGCGGGGACTACCATATCAAGAAGGAGGCAATTCTTTTGTTTATGGTCTCTAATAACGATGTCTGGGCGGTTAGCGTTGATTGTTCTGTCTGTGTGTCTTGTGTAATCTGATAAAATTGTAACGGGTCTTATCTCCGTCACCGGGTCTGGGCGATGTTCATACAAAATTCGTTCAGTTTTCTTCTCGTAGAAGTTGCAGATTTTCCAGTGCAGATAATGGCCAATTTTGTCATGCCGTTTTTATATTCAGTGGCTGCCAATAACGTACAACCTGACAGAAGATGTTAAATTGTTTCTGGATATTTATCACAGAATCTGCATTTTGGGCTAACACAATATTATATTATTGTTATTTTTATTTTCTTTGATTTCTGGCGTTTACACATTTCTTTCCGGGTCCCGCCCAGGGACCTAAGGTTAAAAATGGCATCATGACACTTGCCACGGAGAAAAAAATAAAAAATAAAAAATAAAAATGAAAAAGCACATATTTTACATAGACAAAGCCCTTCGTAAAGACTTCCAGGAATCCCTTCAATTAGTCTACTGCAATCTATTCCAACCAGTCCTAGGGCTCCAACTACAACAGGGATTGTTGATGTTCCCATGTGCCACATTTTTGTGATTTCGATTTCAAGGCCATTGTATTTTGACAGCTTTTTGAATATCTTCAAAGATACATTGCAGTCAGTAGGAACTGCCATATCAATAAGGAGGCACCGTTTTTGTTTGTGGTCTTTAATAACAATATCTGGGCGGTTGGCTTTCATTGTTCTGTCAGTGTGTATTGTGTAGTCCCATAGAATTCTAACAGGTCCTATCTCCGTAACCGGGTCTGGGTGGTGTTCATACCAGTTTCTTTCAGTTTTCTTCCCATAGAAGTTGCAGATTTTCCAGTGCAGATATTGGCCCAATCTGTTATGTCGGGTTTTATACTCAGTGGGTGCCAATTATTATTATTATTATTATTATTATTATTATTATTTATATATGTTATGTTTCCTGCTTTCTATTCTGTAGAGCCGTGTCCAAACTATGGTCCTTAGGCCCTATAAAAGAATTGTCATTTAATTGATAGCACTTTTCTCAGTATAAGGGATGTTCCTAGTAGGGTGATCTTCTGGGCAAATTGTGTGTTGATGTTACCTGGGACACTGTTAGTAAAATTGTCCATTCCTTTTCTCATGAGGTCCAGTGCTCCGATTATTATTGGTACAGTCTCAGTCTTCATTCACCACATCCTGTTAATCTCGATCTCCAGGTCCTTGTATTTGGACAATTTCTCGATAATTCTTTATGGGATTGTTTCTCTCAGATGGTACTGGCATGTTAATAAGCATGCACTTCTTGAATTTCTATCTCTGTCAGTCTGAATTAGCAAGTCCCAGAAGATAGTTACATCGATTCTTATTATTATTATTATTATTATTATTATTATTATTATTATTTCTGTTGTATACACATTTTGTTCCGGGTCCCAACCAGAGACCTCAGGTCAGAAATGGCATCATGACATTTTCCATTGAACATTTTTGTAAAAAAACAAAAAAAAAAAACTATTTTATATAGATGAAGCTACCCGTAATGTGTCATCATCTGTACTTGTGAGTACAATTTTTTGTATTTTTTTAAGGCATAGGTTACAAGGAATCCCTTCAAATAGTCTATCGGACCCTTTTCCAATAAACCCGAGGGCTCCAACTACAATTGAAATTATTGATGTTCTCATGTGCCACATTTTTTTAGATTTCCATTTCATGATCCTTATTATTATTATTATTATTATTATTATTATTACACATTTATTTCTACAACGACTTAGAATTTTTTGTAGATTTATATATTTTTATAGTAGAATTTAAAAAAAAATATAACTTGAAGACTGACATGGTATCGAAATATTGCTTAACATTGTCAAACATTGATTTTCTTTTATTTTTTTCTTTTCTTAAATCGCACTCTTCTCTTGACTGTTGAAAAATATTGGAAGAGTTACATAAATCATTTTGTTTATTATTATTATTATTATTATTATTATTATTATTATTTCCTTTGATTTCTGTTGTATACACATTTCCTTCCGGGTCCCAACCAGAGACCTAAGGTCATAAATGACTTCATGACATTTTCCACTTATCATTTCTGTAAAAAAAAACACAAAATAGACAACCTAAGGTCACATATTTTAAATAGATAAAGTCCTTCGTAATGTGTGAACTGTATTTGTGAGTACATTTTATTTTATTTATTTTTATTTATTTATTTTTTTTTTTTTGCACTTCTTCAAGACATGGGGTACCCTTTAATGAGTCTATCGGAAACTTTTACAATCAATCCGAGGGCTTCAACTACAACGGAAATACTGATGTTTTCATGTGTTACATTGTTTTTTAATTTCAACTGTAAAATCCTCGTATTTTGTTAGTTTTTTGAAGATCTTCAAAGATACATTACAATCTGCTATGGCTGCCATGTCAATAAGAAAGCGCATTCTGTTTTTGTGGTCTTTGATCACGATGTCTGGGCGATTAGCTTTGATTGTTCAGTCTGTGCTTGTTATAATAATAATAATAATAATAATAATAATAATAATTATTATTATCATTATTATTATTATTACTATTATTATTATTATTATTATTATTATTATATCTCGATTTCTGTCATGGTCACTGTTGTAACCAAGAAAAGGTCACTGAATGAGGAATAACGAAAATGGCAGTTGGAAATGAAATGGAAATCTTTATAACAGCAAAAAAAATAAAATACTCGCCAGCGACGTGAAGTAGATAAACCACTGCTAGTGGTGCACAACTTAGACAGCATATTACCCCCGACTTGAGGTTTGAGATATACCCATTAGTGTTCATAGATACGTTATATAACAGTCACAGTGTCTTCTAAATCTACGGGAAGACTTAAGACAGGTAGTGGTGTTTGGTTATGGCTACATTTCATGATTTGTTTTTCTAACTCCCATGTCATCACTAGCGTTACATGGACAAAGTTCTTCGTAGTGTGTGGTCGGTACTTATCAAGACTATTTTTTGCATTTCCCTTAAACTGGGATTTCCAGGGATTTTCTCAATATGTTATTGTGTTCCTTTTTTATCATTCCAAGCGCACCTTCTATGACTGGTACTATTCTTGTATTCAATTTCCACGTTTTTTTTTATTTCGATTCCTGCTATTT